ATGCCAAGGTGTTACATTGAATTTAATCTTTTCCGTTTCAGTGACAGTTTGTCAATAAATTAAATATTTTAATAAACACAACTTGAAACTGATATGTCTTACAAAAGTATTAATTATTCACATTGTAATGCATCAGAAAAATGCTTTTTTCATTAGAATGGTAATTATAAAACCACATTATCTATTAATGCAACAATAACATTTAACGGGGCGGTTTCCCGGACAGGGTTTAAATTAAGCCTGGAGTAGGCCTTAATCTAGAATAGTTAATCGTGTCTTAAAAAATGGCTTTTTGTAACACAGATTAAGTACAGATTAGTTACACTTGGACTATGGAGTCTTGAACTAATATAAATCAGATTAAATTAAAACCAACTGTGCTAATCTGAATTAGCATGACAGAGGTTGCCTATAAAACACGGAATGAACCAAGAAAAGCTTAAAATTGCATGGAACTGAGAAGCAAATCCAAGGAAAACAATGGGATCAGAAAAAGACTGCAATCAAAAAACATAAACTAACAAGAGAAAATTATTTTTATGCAATCTAAATAATCTGCACACACCAGCTATGGAATAAAAGAGAAGAAATGTTGGAAATTTGTTTGTGTATATGTATATAACAAAATACATATAAATGTAAAATTAACGATGTACAACTAGAATCAATGATGTTCTTTACCAATGAATGGTTTTCATTTAAAATGAATTATTCAAACAACTCATATGCTATAATTAATGCTTCGTGTTTATTCCTGTGATTTACATAACAAACTTACTAAAACATTACTTTACACATGTGGGGTTTGGTGTTGACAGTCTAGAAGCAATACTTTCAACTAGAGTAGTACCTAGGGGTTGCTTTATTAATTATACAGCTTGAATTTTTGTAGCAGGTCCCTGATCCAAGGCTTCACCAAAACGGTAACCCCCAAAAACACTAACATAACATAAACGTTTAAATAACAACATAATAATAGAACATTAAACATTCTCTCTGTTTTCTCATCTTAATAAAATAATTGCATAAAATATCACTTTATTTTAAAATTTACATTTCAGCCTTGTGCAAAGCATGATGGGAAGTGAATGTCATGTATAGGTTACTAGATTGAAACATATTTCAAAATTAAAACATCAAGTGAAATCAAAGTTAAGTGACCATTTCAAGTTAGTTTAACATGAACTAATCACATTTTAACAAGAAACCCGATACAATTAAAACATAATTAAAATTATATATTAATATATGTACTGAATGTGTGTATATCCAAGTAACGCATGTGTCTTCTTTGAAACACAAAGTTAATCTGAAGTTAAACCTGCGTCCTGGTAGGTTTAATTTACGACTCAATTTAGTCCTGGAGTAACTGTGGTCTTCCTCCAGGAAATCGGCTTATTAAACTCTGGATTAAACTAAATCTAGGACTATTTAAAGCCATGACATAGAAAGCAGATTTTTGTTAATCAGGTTTAAAGGGCCGTTTTATTCTAGGACTAGGCTTAATCTCGGTCCAGGAAACCGCCCCAAAATGGTCAAACACTGGTGTACTTGTTGATCATGTGCTGTGGTGCATCATTATCTTGAAATGTTAAACAATAAATGTGCACTAAAATGTATTATTGTGCATTATTAATAATCAGACTATTAACTCTGGTTAAAGCTTTATAAAAAAGAACATTCGGTTGATTATAATGTGCATTAAAAGGGCATTATATTAATGCATTACCTATACACTCACACACTTCAATTAGCATTACCAATTTTTCAAATCATTTTCTGCGAGGATCTAGAAGTATGTTTACACAGAACATGCTGATTAATAAAAACAGGACCTAAAGTACAGGACTGCTTACGCTCTTTTATTGCAGATAAACGCTCCTTTGACTCGGAATGGCATGAACTAATGACACAAACATAATATTAATTCACAATATCTCTTGTGAGTGGCATCACCATAGCAACCACTACAAGTTCACGCAGTCTAAAAATCATTTGAGCAAATGTTTTCTTTCTTTTTTATAAACTATAACAGCAAACAGGCTATTCAATATGATATGTTCACGTCGTGTGTGAATAATAGTATATGGTTTCTTTTGTGTGATTCATTCAGAACCCTATATTTACAATGACTCTTCGCCTTTATTTATAAAGTGTAGATGTGTTTGTGAATTTAAAGAATTAGACATAGAAAAAAAATGCCTTTTTGTGGGTGAGCATTTTGCTTTTAAGCAACTTCAAATTCACGCAAATAATTGGAAATGGCAATGAGAATTGATGGCAAAGCATTACAAGTCCCAGGTGAGTTGCAAACAGATGGCAAAAAGAGACCTTTTACAATTGACTCTCATTTGCATCACACTCTTTTTGTTTTGAAAAAGAGAACTCAGAGGAGACAAAAAACATGCAGAAAATATCCAGCTGTGACTGTGAGCAGCAATTCTAGAACACCATCTGCACAGGAACTGACCTTTTACACAATGCGAACAACTCACGATTGAAGCCTTTATTTACACTTGTACACGTACGCGTAAACAACACGCACAACGAGCGCATACAGATAACCTGTCACTCATATTTCATTTCGCTCTGTTTTCAGCACTTGTTTTTGCCTCCTGTTCCCAAGGGACATTGTCTCTCGTGATGATATTATTGGGATAATTGTATGCCTGGACCTTTATTATCATTTTTTTTTTTTTGATCATATATTAATCGATGGCATTCCTGAAAACAAGACTATATAACAACTCATGGCTGCATTTACACTGCAGGTCTTGATACCTAAATCCGATTTTCTGACTACATCTGATTTTTTATGACGACCCACTTACATCATCTTTTAAAAGTGTAGACGTTCTGACCCGGAAAATGAAGTAAAACAGCACGAAATGCAATGAATGGAAATGCGAATAAAATTATCCAGTGTTTTCTTTCCACAATATTTTGAAAAGTCATCAAAACATTGGTCTCGTACGGCGGGAAAAAAAAAAGTGCCTCCTCATATCTCGTGAAATGTCGTCAAATACGGATTTGTTTCTAACAACCCTGCATTTTTGCCTGCAGTCTTCACCCCAAACACTCACAAGACATGAAACCTCTGTATTGCTCCACTGTGTGTATCCTTTCTTCCATCGCGCCTATAATCACGCATTATTTTAATGCCGTACGACTCGCATTTTCTAGGTAATATCCGATTTGTCTGCTTACATGGCACACGCAAATGCATGTATCCGATTCATATCCGATTTATTATCACATGAGTGAGGCCTGAATCCGATCTGAGAAAATCAGAATCTATGCGTTTTTTTCCTGCTTACACGTTCACCATTCATATCCAGTCTGTGCCACATGAGAGGAAAAAAAAAAATCGGATTTTGGTCACTTGAACAATGCAGTGTAAACGAGGCCATAGTAATCACACCTACAAAAATGCACAATAAAAGAATAACAAGTCCATACTATCATGCTATGTGTGATAATAGCATAGAGGTTGGAATGACATGAGAGTGAGGGAATAATGTAAGAATTTTTATTTTTGAATTAACCATTCTCAGTGTTGTACTGGCTAACTAAAACAATTGTTTGTAGTGTGTTTTAAAGGGTTAGTTCACCCAAAAATGAAAATTCTGTCAGTATTTACTCACCCTCATGTTGTTCCAACCCCCGTAAGACCTTCGTTCATCTTCGGAACACAAATTAAGATATTTAAGATATTAAGATCGCTCCTGCATACAGTCCATAGGCTTCTTGAGGGACTGGCTCTTGCTGTCCCCAAAAAATCATTAAAAGACATCGTTAAAATAGTCCTACAAAATAGTGACTACAGGGGCTCAATCTTAAGTTTATCAAACGACGAGAACACTTTTGTGCGCAAAAAAACAACAAAAATAACGACTTTATTTCAACTATTCACTTCCTTCTCCATGAGCCTGTAAGTCAGTTAACGTAGTGTGATTGCGTAGAGCTACGTCACACGTAGGCTCACTATTGGCCGACGCTGGTCATGTGTGTGTGATGCGTGTGACGTACAATAACAGAAGCTTACGCTATTAAACTAGTAACCTGACTCGCGCAGAGGGAGAAATAAACGAATAGTTGAAATAAAGTTGTTATTTTTGTTGTTTTTTTTGCGCATAAAAGTGTTCTCGTCGTTTGATAAACTTAAGATTGAGCCCCTGTAGTCACTTGGACTATTTTAACGATGTCTTTAATGACTTTTCGAGGACAGCAAGAGCCAGTCCCTCAAGAAGCCTATGGACTGTATGCAGGAGCCATCTTAATATCTTAAATATCTTAATTTGTGTTCCGAAGATGAACGAAGGTCTTACGGGGTTGGAACAACATGAGGGTGAGTAAATACTGACAGAATTTTCATTTTTGGGTGAACTAACCCTTTAATTGAAATGAAGCATAAATAAAATAAATATTAGATGAAGAAAATAAAACAACTATAAAGGGTTAGTTCACCTAAAAATTCGAATATTACTCACACTCATGTCTTTCCAAACACATAAGACTTTTGCTCCTCTTTTAAACACAAATGAAGGTATTTGAATGAAATCTGAAATATGTCCCTCCATTGACAGCTACACAACTCCCACTTTGACACTTCAAAAAGTTTATATAGAGATCGTAAAACTAATCCATATGAATTGAGCAGTTTAGTCCAAATTTTTTTGAAGAGACACGATTGATCCGTTTATATGAAGAACATATTTATTTTAGGCTTTTATTCACATGTAAACACTCATCTACTCACACATCAGTTGTGTTAAACGTAATCTCAAGCATGTTCACTTGATGTGTAAGGTTCTCCCGTGTTACGCAGCACAACCAATGAGGTTTGTTCTCGCGCGTCACGCAAGTTCGGTTGAGGTGACAATTTCTTTAAGGCAGTATCCATTTGGAATCCACTGAATCAACTGTGAACTTATGACCCTAAAACACAAAACTTTAATAACCATTATGGTTTTCTCTCTCTTTCTGAATTTCTCTTTCAGATGTGCAGCATATTAAACGAAGGGACATTGTTCTGAAGAGGGAGCTTGGCGAGGGAGCTTTTGGGAAGGTGTTTCTGGCTGAATGTTACAACCTCAGCCCCACCAAAGATAAGATGCTGGTGGCTGTGAAGGTGAGGCAGGATTTTGCAGTTAAAAGCACCTTCTTCTGGCTTTGCTTTGCTCTGACTTCTCTAAGAATAGATGCACTTCTCCTGTGCACTATATTCCATTACCAGGAATGTGCATTATGAAAGTAAATGCACCTTTCTGGCATTATTGTGCACAATTCATCTAAAAGTTTGATCAAAATGTAAAACTTTTTCTCTGAACTAGCTGAGTATGTTCAACTAGGTTGTCACACCCGGATCTGTTCTCAATTAATACAAATCAAGCACCAGTAGATAAAATCAATCTTTTTCTTGTTTAATCTGAAATAATTGTGAATGCCGTTTTTGTGTTCTTACAGGTTCGCACCTAACCATTTAATTGTCAGGATCCGTGTTTAGGAAACTACTTTGCAGACTTGCAAGTGACTCATTTAACCCCAATTTAACCCCATAAAGCCTACTGTATTACATATGACTTTTTTATGGGTACATTTAAACGAGAACTGTATTATTCATGCCAGGCCAGTAGTTTCAGGCCAAAGAAACACCACGCGCCTATAGACTGAACACAGGGCTCCAGACTGCGACCAAATGGTCGCATTTTGCGACCAAAATTTGAGAGTGTGCGACTGAATTTTACATCCAGTCGCACATGTGCGACTAGTAAATTTGCCGCACATGGTAAAGCGTGGAAGGGGCGCGTCAATGAATCCGTGACAAGAATAGCGCGATTAAACGTCTGTGGGAAGGAGACGGAGACAAATATCACATCCTGATGTGCGTCTGAGCAATCAGCGATCTATCGACTCGTTAGTCGTAACCTAGCAGCGAATGCAAACAAAATGAAAGTGGAACGAAAATACGCCACTCATAGGACCGTGGAGCAGCAGCAGCGATCCGAACCATTGACGGTAAAATAAAGCCCCGAACTTGCCAGTCGCGGGCCGATCTCGCTCACGCAACACTGTTAATAGGAGATCCAGTGAAGAAATCCATTGAATTCGCCTCAGAATTAATAACATCAACACCACGAGATCCAGTGAGAAACACTCCGATTCGGCGCAGAGTTCTGTTATAAACCATATCAGATCAAACAGCGCTGACGTGGAAACCAGGAAAAACACTTATAGAAGGCTTTCAGTCCACAAATCAGCCTAACAGAACCATGGATTTAGGCTAATGTAGTAAGTTAACTCTAACAATAAATATGATAATGTGTAAGAAAATCAAATGCTTACAAGTAGCCTACACATCTTTTCCCAGCACTTCAATAATATCATATATAAATGTTTTATTTTTTTGTATTTTTAATGTGATTACCAACACATTTTTTGTTCATCCTTTAAAAATTGTCCTAAAAAGAAAAATTTTGAGATGTTGGAAAACTCTTATTTAAACACTTAAAAAAATAATAATACCATTGTAAACAGTAGGATGTTTATTGGCTATTTTCACTCCATATACATATTTTCACTACTTTTATTAATTAATATTTTATGACATTATAAATGATAATAACTAAAGTTAATTTCATCTACACCCTAAATTAAGCTTAGTGATTTATTTTCAGCACCAGTGCTACCAGATTTTTTTTTTGTAGAACTCGCTGTGAGTTCTCATTTGAGGTGATGCTGCCCTCAACTTTGAGTCTGAAACCCTGTGAACTTAAAACAAAACAGCATATCATAATGTTAAGTCTATTTATTATTAAAGAATTTGTCAGTATTACAGTTATTTTGGGGGAAATTTGAAAAGTTTGCATTGCAAGCTGATTTAAGGTGTGTCCCTAAATTTTCAGCTTGCGCCCCTAAAATTTTCAGTTAGGGGCAACAGCGCTCCTAGTAAAAAAAGTTAGTCTGGAGCCCTGGAACATGTAATATGCATGCGTATGACACCACCGTTTTCACAAATTCGAGTTTGTGTCATTTACATGGTGACAATAAGGGTATCGTTTTCAAAAACTTGCACTTTAAAAACCCGTTTAAAAAAAAATTATTTTCAGGCCCCCAAAACGATATTATCTTCTAAGAACTTTGTTGAAAACGGATGTTCATTTACATGACAATGATGTGACGTGTAAATGGCCCCTAAGGCATCTAAATTGTCAACAAGGAAAAAAACCTGTTTTACACCGTCTAGTAAATTATTCTGTCATCTAATTGATAGTTTATGGCCTTTTAGAAACGCCCCCTTCAGGTCATGGGATGTGTGTTTCTTTTTCTGTGAGAATAAGCTCATTTATTTTTTAGCAATATTGGCTTTCCAGGAACATATATGTACATCTCTCAATCATCATTTTATTGCACTGCAATTATTTTTTGCCTCTCACAATTAAAACTACAGAGTTTTGATCATAAAAATAAGCATTGAATATAATTTGAAAAAGATATTGTTGGGAGATATAGAGGGTCAAATTATATTAATTTGCCTTTTATGCAAGTAGTCTGCTATACTGTTATAAATATCTTATTGATTAGCATTTTATTCATTTTACTTTTTGCCTATATAAATAAAAAAATGTTCACTTGCAACAAGGATCGACATGGTTTATGTTAAACACAATGTGCCCTATTTTAACGATCTGAAACGCAAGTGTCAAGCGCAAGTAACTTTGTGGGCGGGTCTTGGATGCTGTTGCTAAATGACTCTTGTGCTCGACGCAAATCTAATTCCCTTTAAGAGCATGATGAATGATGTGCGCTTGTTCCATGGCGCAATACTATAACGGCGCATGTACTAGCCGCGCTTCACAGCCGAGGAGATCGATGTTCTCGTCAGGGCCGTAAACGAAAGAGAAGTGACATTGGGGATGGGGCAAACACACCCAAATTTGCTTCGGTTAAAAATACATATAATAATTGGGGTAAATGTGTAAGCTTTATGCCTATTTTTCCCATGGTCATGAATACAACAATAATTTCCCTTGTGTTTTAATAGTTTTCCTTATAATAATATATAATGCATCTGTGTAGATGAGAGTATCATCTACAGTGTATGCGCGTTGTTCACACTGTATTATGGCCAAGCATGCATGCTTTGGACTAAGTTTTTTCTGGTCAGTAGCGCAATTGTTTTCTGGAACTGCAAAATAGCACTAGGGAATATTTGCGCCGAAACACGCCTCCTTTTTTGCGCCGACCCGCCCAGGGAGCGAAAGTTCATTCCCTAGTTTACCGATGTGCGTTTGTGGAGGGAAAAGCCCGCTTTGTGCGGGTGCAAAATAGGAATGATAAATGCGTCGGTGTACGAAGTCGTTTGCGCCGGTTTGCCATGTGTTTAAAATAAATAAATAAAAACATTTAATGAACTTAAATGCTTTATTTTGAGCACATTTTGTTGACTATCTCCACTTGATGTCCAAAATTCGGGTCTTTTTCAAAACCATCTGACAACGGCCCCAGAATGACTTAAGGCCAATAATATCATTTAACCACTGGAAAGCACTCTCCTCATCTGAACTTACTCTTCTAATTTAATGTACTGCCTCACCAGAGCCCATTGAAACTATTACATCATAAAGATAAGTGAAGATAGTGTGAAAATGCTTCAGTATCATGGGGATATCTTATGAACCCAGGGCTGTCAGGCCAGTTCCCCCAGTAGAACGCTGCAACAGAAAGACAGCACGGGAGGACTGTGTTGAGTGCATGGCGCTAACACATCCCCTGACAGAATGAGTGCTTCACCATCTGTGTCATATACGCCATTCTCCGTCGATGTCTCCCTCTGCTTGTGTCAGAGAGATCAGGGGAATTCTGTAATTAAAATTAAATTGCATCATGTGCTGTTCAGGCAAAGTTACCATTTAATTGCCAGGGGCAGGACAATGAAAAGGATAGTAGCGATTTAGAGGGCCTAGAAAATTTTTGTTGTTTTGTCATGCTATAAATACTTTGGTAAGGATACCCATCCTACAGATTTCCTGTGACTGAGATGCAAAATATTATCACATTTCCCAAGTTCATGCTAAAAGGGTTCTGTCAAAGCAAATTTATATAGGTCAGAAAACATACATCAGACATGTTGATAAAGAATAAAGCATTTCCCAAAATGGTAGATGCGCCATATGCTTTAGGGTAAGCTGGTGTCAGGAAATACAATTATAGTCTCAAAACCCAGATTACCTACCAGGTTAGCTTTTAATGGGAACTATACACCCAAGGCCCATTAGAAAAACACGCCTCTAGGCTCTACATTTTTACATTCCAAAAGAATACCTACTTTTCCAACTCAAATGCACATTAGAGATTGAAAAATGGCAACAATTTTTATTCTTTTTCACACAAATTATGATTACAGGGACAGATTATCGATTCAAGACTAGCTATACCATAGCTAGCAAATACTGTATATTGAAAACTGTTACACTACATTGAAACATCCTCTGCCAGACTGGGTTAATAAAAAATGCAAATAATATCCATCAAAATTAAAGATATTTTTCTGTTTGTGTTAATATTTTATTTGAAATGTAAATTGTTCATTCCCCAATGAACTTGACACACCAAGCCAACGTCTAGCGTTGACAAAGCCGACTGAGTTGTCGCCTCACATTGGCTGCATTTGGGCTAAAAATCTTACTCTTAGCATGTGCATTCTGCACCTGTGCGTAAGGAAATAACTCAATATCTACAGGTATCAATGGTCTATATTACTAAAACTAGCCCTACGGCGATGGACCATCCAAATGACCGTTAGCTTGGTGTGTCATGGCCCTTAAACATGACATTGTTATGCCAAGTAGTGTTCCTGAACCACTTTTGTTTTGACAAGTCATGATATGGCCTTTTGTTGTACATTTTCATTTCATTTCAGTTCATGGCAGACATCCTGAAATGCAATTAGGCATATTAGTCTAACCTTCGTCTCATTTCTCCTTGGCTAGAGGACAACTTGTGTAAAAACGTGGCATCCAACTCTCCCTCGATGCATTTGTTCTTGACTTTACAGCTCCAAGAATAAACACACTTTCTATCTCTCAGACTCTCAAAGATCCAACCCTGACTGCCAGAAAAGACTTTCAACGGGAGGCTGAGCTTCTCACCAACCTGCAGCACGAACACATTGTGATGTTCTACGGCGTGTGTGTGGACGGCGACCCTCTCATCATGGTGTTCGAATACATGAAGCATGGAGACCTCAATAAGTTTCTGAGGTAGTTATTTTTCATGTCATAAAGAACAGTGAATGCTAAAGGATTAATCTTTGTCTGAAAACTCAGGTTACCGGCCAGGTTAGCTTTTAATGAGAATTATATTCGTTAGAAAAACATGCCTCTAGGCTCTACCTAAATTTGTACATTCCAAAGCTATACCTACACCTACAGTTCACTGTAGTTTCCAGCTCAAATGAACATTAGAGGTAGTAAAATGCCAACAACGTTTATTATTTTTCACTCATATTATGATTACAGGGACAGATTATAATTTCAAGACATATTTTTGCGTGGTTCCTTACACAAAACTATGTTAAAATGCTTTTACCATAGCTAATGATTTGTAAACTAATACATTTTGATGTTTGCATCACCTATAGTGGTCCCACTTTATATTAAGTGGCTTTAAGTACTATGTACTTACATAGAAGTTACTACTTTGATACATTGGACGTATTGTGTACATAGATGTTTTTACATTGTACTTATATTTTGAAAATACCTGCATGTAATTACAACTGTAATTAATTGATGTAATTACATTTGTAATTACACAGTTTACCCTTCCCTTACACCTTAACCCACCCTGATACCTACCCATACCACCACACCTGTCCCTAACCTTACCCATATCACATCTCAATAGCAGCAAAAGTGTTTTACAATACAACCTGAACACAATAAGTACATTGTACTTATTTTCCTATGTAAGTACACAGTACTTAAAGCCACTTAATATAAAGTGGGACCCATATGGGTCGATGAAGTGACATACAGTAATATCATTTTGCAGACATGCACTCATTTTCAATGACCCTAGGTTGCAAGAGAGGTACGCTCTCTAAGCAAAAGCTGTCTAAAATTGTAATTAGTACAAATATTTTAGCTCCTAATTTTGGACAAAATATGCTGCATTATCACATGTATCCTCAATAAATCGTCTATTTTCATCATGCGCAGCAACAAGCAATGAAAATTTCCATTTAATATGGTGGATGAAGCCAATCCAGAGGAATTGCTCACATGTTGCACATGAGACTTAATGGAATTCTGTTATTGTCTCGTATTTCTCTTAAAATCTTTATCAAGTATTAGGCACTTAAGGTTGATAATCATTAAATTATGCAGTTTACTGTATGTAGACAGTTGCCTGTGCAGGCATTAGATATTGAAACTCTCTCTGAGTTCTCTCTCTAAAGCTCTCTAGGTTTTGAAACACAAAATTCTTAAGATTCAAAATAGCAGTTTAGGATTGAAGTTCATTGCATGCACGTCGCATGGATTGAGGCCATGCAAATTGTAATTTGCAGGGGAGATCTGTGAAAATATAAAGGCAGACAGAGTTCTGGAGTGAGATGATTGTCTTGTGGGAGCAAAGAGAAGGGTGATGATAATAAATTAGTCTTTTGTGTAGTGAGAATTTTTTCTTACACTTATGCAGATGGCCGGACTAGCATTTCAAAAAAAAAAAAAAAAAATGATGAAATTCTTTTCTGAAAAGCTGCAATGATAGAAGTCTGGTTGATTTTCATGGACACTAAAAAGATTTTGGCAGCAGACTCCAGGCTTTATGCAGATGATTTGCATGTTGAATTAAAAAGATTTAGCGAGAACGTCATGTAAAGCATACTAGAAAAGTCAGTGCATATAATTTGGAGAACATTGTGTGCCGCCTAGTTTTTCAGCAGCTTTGGTTCAGAAAGTTTTTCTTCCTCCATTCATTCGCTCCATAAACATTTCATGATGTAACCAACAAATACTGAGTTGAATTCCAACTTGTGATTCAGTTTAGAGTTGGTTGTTTGGTTCATGACTCCCAAGCTTTGATTAGAAAAAAAAGTAACACTATTTACTAAAAATAACTTTGCAAATACCTCTCATTAGATTATTATTGGACCATCTGGTTAATTTCTGATGGAACTTATTTTGATGCTTCCCCAACAGACATTCTACTATACTTTGCAACAACATGTCAACTTATTTTACGAACCATATATATTTGGATCGTTATCTCTAGGCCTACACTCAATGAACAACATCTCACCACTAAATTAAAGGCTTGTCTCATATAGACGAATGTCTCAAATACAAGCCGGTGCAGTGCAGGAATTTGGGAAAATGAAAACCCAGGCTATTTTTTGAAGTTTTACGGTATCATGGTTTCCACAAAAATATCAAGCAGCACAACCGTTTTCAACTTTGGTAATATTAAGAATAGTCTTTCTTTTTTTTCTTTTAAGGAAATTAGAATGATTTCTGAAGGACCATGTGACACTGAAGACTGGAGTTGTGATGCTGAAAATTTTACTTTGCATCAAAGGAATAAATTACATTTTGAAATATATTAAAAAAGAAAACAGTTATATACTGTATTTCAAAATCTTACAGATTTGACTTTATTGATCAAATAAATATTACCTTTGTGAGTATGAGAAACATTTTTTTTTTTAATTACTTGAATGGTAGTGTATGTATGAAATGCTTTCAAGTTTATTGCACAATATTCATATACTGTATACACAACGTAGATACTTTTTAAGTGTAGGGAAACAGTCGGGATTCCCATTTCCATGGTAACAGCAAACTCTCTGATTAGCAAATCTCTCTTCAGGATTATTGTAGTTCACTGGGAATTTGGCAAAATAAATAAAAACAATTCAAAAATGATGTTGAAATCACTATGACTTAGGTGGCTTAATCACCTCTTTAGACATCAAATATTTTTAAAGTTGTTACAAATCAAGTTTATTATTGAGAAAATGAATAAGATTCTTTCTTTCTTTCCCCGGAACCAGACGGTTGCATTCTAAAGCAGAGCTCCCACTTGGATTGTTAGCTCCCTGATTGTTAGCTCTTCAAACATACAGTTGAAGAGCTCCATGCTGAAGAGGCACTGACCAGAAGAGAAGCACAAATTACAGTCGAGCCCTTTTCAACAGCCACCTTATGCAAATGCTGCTGCAATCAGACAAAAATCATTTTCCTCGAGTGAAGAGAAAAATCGAAAAAGTTAACTGAATAGGTGATTTTATTTCTCCACAGTTGAAGTCAAAGCACATCTTTCTTTGCCTTGACTTACTCACTTCAAATCAGACAGCTTTACAGGATTAAAGGATTAGAGGGGGAATTATTTTATGGAGCAATAAGGCGGTGCGTTTGAACATTTTGACCCTGTGCCCTTTTACATTGATCCATAATCAATTTTCCCTGCTCGGATCCTAAATGTAAGTAATTGCAAAAACCTGGACGTAGCTCAGAGTCAGCACTGAAGGACAATTACAAGTGTAACCAACATGACTTTCTCCCCACATTTCAGAGCCCATGGTCCAGATGCCATGATCCTCGTGGACGGCCAACCGATGCAGTCGAACGGGGAACTTGGTCTCTCGCAGATGCTTCATATCGGTTCACAGATAGCGGCAGGCATGATCTACCTGGCCTCGCAGCATTTTGTGCACCGCGACCTGGCCACTCGCAACTGCCTCGTGGGTAACGGCCTGCTTGTGAAAATTGGAGACTTCGGGATGTCCAGAGACATATACAGCTCTGATTACTACCGAGTAAGTATCACAACAGTTTAATTAGCCTATGTTTTAATGTTTGCTGACAAAAACTTTTTATAGCATCTTTGCAAGTACATTTCTGGACTAAAGTCCACACTTCTGGACCAAAAGTTAGAATGTCCTGGGTTCTGAATGATCTCTATATTGCCACCTAAAATAATTAATATTTTAATTTTTTAATTTTATTTCATAAGTTAAAAACAAAAACTACGGCCTCAGTAAACATTGGACCCCATTGACTTTCATTGTATTAACAAAATTAGCGAAAGCATTCTTGCTTTACATGAGTTTAAATATTGTAGCATAACTTTGAAAAGAAAACCAAGTGATTTTAAATCACATTAGTCTCACTTTAACATATAATGTTTACGTTTTGTATATATTTTAATGTTTATTGCATTACCTGATAACTTCCATTGTAAGTATCAAGACTATAACCATCATTTTTGCTTCTTTTTTTATAATGATGTATTAGTTTAAATAATTTTCTGTGGTAACATTAACATCATCATTATGACAAGATGCTGGAGATTAAACTGGGGCCAGTTGCATTAACCGCTAAGAATAGTCTTATGTCTTAGTCATCAATTTTTTTTCCCCCAAGACTGTTACATAAAAACGTATATTGGTTTAATTTGATACCGAAAAGTAAGACAGAACATATTAAGTCCTTGGTAAAATGATGTTCCGTTTGCAATACCGTCAATAAATAGCACAAACAGGTAGATCATTTTTGGAAAACCAATAGCTATCTATAAGATCTAGTTAAACAGAGAGATTGGATTGTTAAGAGTCTTTGCATTCAAGCCAGTCGTAAGCTGAAGGTCTCTTGGAGGCCAGAAACATCTTTATCAGCCACACATGCGCACACTTATAACCAGTCTTCAATATTGACAAAGCAAAGGGATTATGAAATTATTACCGCATTGGACACGTTCACTGTGTCAAGTGATTATAAATAGCGGATCCTGCCAAGCACGTAATCCACACATGGCGAGTCATATTGACGTTTGTTGTCCTCTGGGGCTCGAGCGTCTGGCCACAGGAATGGAGCATGACTGGGAGAAAGATTGAGGTACTTTCATCAGTGACCAATTCAACCGCCTTCGTCAAGATGTTATAAGTGGCACATCGACTTCCTGCCACCTAATGGCTTGCCGAGTCTCTTTTTGCATGAGATGTTTTTGATAACTCTGTTTAGAGCTGCTGATGGTTGGGGAAAATGACAGCACAGGCTCGATCTCATGAATAAGCTGCAGATTGTCAACGAGTGTGTCCTCACCACAAATATAACTGATTACACACATGGTCACCCTGTCACTTGTTTTTTTTTTTATAAACAACTAATGTCAATGTAAGGAATGGCCCGTATTTTCTTTATGATTTCTAATATCTTTTTCTACTAGATATTTAGCCAAGTGTTTTAAATGGTTGGGGAAATCTGTTATCGGTCATGGATGCATGAATCTGCTTCCCCTGATACTAAGTATAAAATTGTAAATGCCCAGAGACTAGCTCTAGCAGGGCTGTAATCCATTCTCCAGCATGCTGCTTAGCTCTTCATACCCATAATCCAATCTAGCCCTCTACCACTGAGCCACAGACTAGTCAGTAATCCAGTTTACAAACTACCAAAATAAAGATAAAAACCATGTTGCCTTCTTCCTGAAACCCACTCCATGCTGACAGAACGGAAATACGGTAAATCAGCAGAGTGAATTTTTTTTGTTCTCCATTTCCAATCGTTTATTTCCAATTGGGCTTATCATTTTTTACCATGCCAGGCTAATTGCTCTAGTGTCCACCACAAAGAATTCTATGCAAACATACAACTGTACTTCATAACAAAATTAGTCAATGAGTATATTTTGTTAATGTTTTGATTTTTAATAATGTTATTTCTTGATTTGATTATGTCCTTACTAGGGGTGGCACGGTTCACGAAACCCACGGTTCGGTTTGTATCACGGTTTTAGGGTCACGGTTTTCGGTTCTGTACGGTTCTTGTTATTTTTTCTTTTAATCTTAACACTCCAGAAATGTACTTCAGCAAGTGATATATAGCTTAATTATCCACACTTTAGGATACAGTATTACAAATTATATTCATGCAATCATGCACAAACTGGATTTGACTCTTTGACTTTAAGCACATTTTGGGACTATCTCAGAGGAAAGCTAGGTGAGATTTAGATACAGCAAGAGAGAAGAAATTGACATGCTTTTTGTTTATTTGGCAAAAAAAGGAGAATGTGTATCACTATCTCTACAAGAACTTGTGCATTTTTATCACATAAATCTTATTTACACAAAGAAATTAACTTTCATGTATCAACTGCTAACTTAGCTCTTACCAAAATTCTATCTTTTAAAAGAAAAAGAGAGGAACTCTTAAAACACTGTCTTTTAAATGGCATTGCCTATAGATAATTAAGCTATAGCAATAGCAATGCCATAAACATAAAGTGAAATTTAAGTTCAACCTTAACACAAAAACAGTATCAACAATGCTTCTATTCCCAAAATGTGAGGGTACTTTTTTCCACTTAAAATTAAAGTGCAGGATTTGGAAACATATGACTGAAGCTCTTATCTAAACATAAAGTGCCACTGTAGCGTTATATTAAAATATCATAACATGAAATCCAAAATGTTCCCACACACCGGACTTATACCATAGACTTATACGACGCTGGCGCATCCTTTAACTCCCTCATCTCTCCCACTTGCCATTTCTCCGCGTGCCGTCCGTGACCTGCAGCGCTCCATACTTCACTTTTACTGGCTTGTTTACTAACTTGAACCGGCGCTGCACAGAGCGATCGGTAATGACATCAAATACCGCGAAAGTGATGAATGCATACAGAGCCGACTCGCGCTAGATTGATGTTATTCACCGATCGCTCTGTGCAGCGCCGGTCCAAGTCGAACAAGTTTATGTCGCGCGAAAAGAAAACACACGTCACATACGGGCACGAGGTTACATTGCGCATGCGATCGAACCGTGAGACGCACACACGCACCGAACCGAGACAAGCGAACCGAACGGTTCGGGTGTTTTTTCATGTACCGTGCCACCCCTAGTCCTTACCCATTTCCAATGCAAGTGCGGGCCAACAGTGCGCTTTCACAAAGAGACTCCGCTCCGTGTGGCATCTCACAGTCGCGTCGCGTCTAGTGTGGACAGACACACTTGCTGTCGCTGGAATTTTATCGCGTCGCGTGTAGTTAGGACACGGTGTAACCCCTAACCGTAACCCATAACATAGCTCAAGTTTGATGTACTGAGGTACATTTTGCTGTACAATTTTCAAATTTGAATTTATAAGTCAACCTCAATTTAACTCTGAATGACAAACAACCTTGCAAGACACTAGCAACCTTTCCATTACAGATTTGCACAGAACTTCTGCGATATTTTCTAAATGTCGATAAAAAAACTATTACGAAATGACGGCGTTTCCATTAACCGATGTTATGCAACTGAAACGTAATTATTTTCTTGCGCGATAAGTCATTCCAATTATTATGGCAACGGATGTTGATATGTTTATATATCCCAGCCACCGCACCATTATTTTTAAGCAAAGGAGACACGGGCATGTTATCCAAGCATTAATACCAAGGAAAGCCCCTTATACTTGGTAGCGGCCAAGTATGAGGTGTTTCTGGGTGTTTCTCCCACCTATCTGCTTCAAGGTCTTGATTGTGGCATTTCCTTGTGGTTTAGAATCCAGTATTCCCGTAATTCTTTGGTCTTTTATGAGATTATGAGAAAGAACTGTCTGGTCTTCTGTCTAAACATACCACGCCGTATATGTCAGGTGACTTGTAAATGCACAAAAACTGTTTCCATTGCAGTTTTGCGAAATATTCCTTTTTCGAATTGCCTGAAAAACGACCTCATGTGAGGGTAAAAACGTTTTCTGCGATGTATAGGAGTTTTTGCAAAACTGTCTTGTTTCCATTGGGCGTATTTTCAATTCGCGCAATTTGAAGGGTAATGGAAATGCGACTACTATTTTCTATTTTTAGAGGTCTTTGTAGATAAAACTTGCTGATTACAAGGGTTGACCGAACATATTGATGTTTTTAATTAGCTACACATTCAGATGTACAGTATTTTTTTAAAGTGATGCTTTCACTGCAGGGTACTGCAATGAACATGACATGAGAGGAATCTGTATAATACAGCTTTTTACTTCACCACATCACTAGTTTGCAGACTTTTCTTTAAAGAGAACATGTCAGAGCTTAAACGACAAATAGAGCAATGATTACTCAATTAACACACACAACCACTCCCAGATACAGCACAAAAGTGTGATTTCACCCGTCATTGCTTTATGACATGTCACTACACAATTGATAATGTGATGCTATTATGTCTTGTTGCAGAGTAACTATTTGAAGACTTTTTTTTATGTTTGATTACCTTCTTGAGTTACCAGTTTGAGATGTTACTGCAACTTCCTGTTCACCTCATCGTTTCGAACCCTCTCCTGACTAACACTTGCAATAAGAGCAGTAAAAATACAAACTAAACTGATTCAGACCTTTACAGAGCACAGGCTACAAGGATTCTGATAAGATATTGACTATATGCAGTGGACAGTGGTCACAGGAACCTACTTGCCTAATTTCTAATGTGGCGGTAGACATTCATTAGTCTGCTCTCTGCCAGCCGGAAGTAAGATCAATGTAACGGCAAACAACAGAGGGAATAGTAATTACAAAGAGAACTCCACACTGAGCTGGAAAGGCTCCAGCTATAGCCAGCAGTCTTCTTCACAGGCATTTCATGCCGGCACAAAGTGATGAATGTAGTGAAATTGACGTGAATAAGAAATAGATTTGAGAATAAGCCATTTTAATTGAAACTGAGTGCATGCACAATTAATGCATTATTGTTTAGTCAATTTGGCTCAACTAGCAGAGGACTGGAAGCACATGAGATCATTATTAAAGCGCTTTGTGCACCTTTCTGGGTGTTGTAATGGCGCTATATAAATAAAAATTGAATTGAATTGTCATTTGCTTTGTTTTTAGTGGTTGTGTTAGTTATTTTGCTGAAACTGCTTTGATTAGCTTTATCTTGCAATTTTTATATACTGTTGTCTTTTTATGTGTTTTATGGAAAGCGCTTTGTGCACCTTTCTGGGTGTTGTAATGGCGCTATATAAATAATTGAATTGAATTAAAGCTAATAATATTAATATACCATACCATACCAACTTTATTTGTTTAGCACTTTACAACAACCTAAGTTGACCAAAGTGCTGTACAGAAAACATAAACATACAATTAAAAAAAAAAAAACCCTACATTCATCATTAGTAACAAAAAATTCATGGAGTCGATATATATAATATAATATATTATTTGCTTTAAAAATACTAAGGATTTGTGCCGTTTAGTTAATACATTCTTTTTATGAAATAAAAAGTGTTCCAGAGTGGGTCGGGATAATCGATAAGCTGTTTTGTATTGTTATTAAGTCTTATTCTGTGACATACTGTAAGAGTTCCACATGAGCAGTGAAGAAGACTTTCTGTCTGTTGCTTTCATTAAGGACCTCTCAGACGGTCGGTCAACTATGGCTGCGGTAAAAGTAAGCGATTTACATTTACATTTAATCATTTAGCAGACACTATTATCCAAAGCGACTTACATGTGAGGAGAACAATAGAAGCAATCAAACCAACAACAGGGCGACAATATGCAAGTGCTGTGACTAGTCCCATTTAGTCCAGGAAAGTACACATAGCAAGGTGTCTTTTATATAAAGATATAGATTAGTAAATGTTAGTATTAATAGGTCAAGTGATTTTGATTACTGCACCATTAAAGAATTGGAACACCCCGGTCCCAAACAAAGACTTTTGTGAATATTTGTTAGATGTCAAGTGTGTGTGTCTGTCTGTTGTTTGTGTTTGTACATAGTCTTGGCTGTGTAAATCGGGTTACCCGCTTTAATACTGGCAAAACTTTCCAGTTCTGGAGAGGCATTGGAGAATGTGCTTTGTTTCGTCTCGATACATGAGTAACGTTGGTTTTGCTGTTTCACAGAAACCAGATACACTGCTGTAAGCTGTTGTTGTTCTTAAAGGTGCAATGTGTAACAAAGTTGAGTATCTATTAACAGAAATGCAATATGACATCCATAACTATGTTTTCAGTGGTGTATAAAGAACTTACTTAATTAGCCGTAATGTTTTTATTACCTTAGAATGAGACATTAATAGCTCCATAACCGAGGGAATCCCCTTCTATGAAGGTCGCCATGTTGTGACGTCATATTCCTACCGTAGCCGAACGCGAACAAACAGCGCTACAGAACGCGTTTCATCACTACCTTGAAAGAGAAGTAGCGGAAAGCTGGAAGCTAGCCTTACACTCCGTGAGTAGTGACTTTTCCCTTGTGAGTGGTGTAAAATATGTAGTTGGGATTGTTTCATGTACCTTAGTTCTCCCTCGCTGTGTTATGGTTTGTTATGTTGGGGATAGATGTGCTGTTACGTTCGTGAGACAGCTGATGATTAGTATTCATGTCATTGACCGTAAAACAGTACGTTACAGGAATTACTAACCCGTCGATAGAGACTTTTACTAAAGTCTTTTATCACTAAAGTCGATCGCGAAGAATTTTAAAAATCAGAGAAAAAAGCCTATTGTGTGTAGTAAATAGTATCTATGGGATGCGGAGATGACATGATTGTAACAGCGCGCGCACTTCCGACCTTTGGACTCATGCAGACGCGTCCCAGCTCAGCCACAGTAACAGCTCATATTAGCCAGCTAAACTATTACTACCCTGTTAGAAAAAATATATAGCTGCTCCCTCGCTGTATTATGGGTTTGCTACAGTATGTGGGGAGAAATGTGCTGCTGGTTACGTTTGTGAGACAATCAGCTGATTATTATTTTATTAAATTATATATTAAAACCCTTGATCCTCACCTGACTATGGCTTTTTAAACAGACAGTATTCATGATGTGGTTTATAATGGACTGTGGTACAGAAACAGTGACAATGTTACACACTCTTGGCTTCCTATGGCTATTCTCTGCTGTCTCAGCCGACGAGATGTTTGTCCCGTTTTAGCAACCGTAGCTTCTTCCAAAGGGAGGGGGAGCAGTGGGCTGAGCCCTTAGTGCAAACCTGGTGCAAACTCGCAACCGAACCACTAGATGTCGCTAAAAGTCACACATTGCTCCTTTAAATGAGAGCTGATTCATCCATACTTGCTTGTGCAATTAAGTGAGGGGTGTGTTTCTGTTGGGTAAGGGTTTGTTTGTTTGTTTAGGGTCTCGATTCCAAAAATCTACAGTGTCAAAATAGGCAACTACACACAACATAGATTACATTTATGCAACTATGAATATAGATACATTTTTTTGCAATCAGAAAAAGTTAGGACACAAAGTCTTCCGTCACTTCCAAATAAAGATTTTTGGGGGGTTGGGTTTTTAACACTGAAATTGCTGCATTTAGTCTTGACTATATTTGTACCAAGTTCAGTTATATTTTTGCCAACCAATTTGATAGATTTTTTTAGCAAATGACATTTGGTATGATTTGGCACATAAAAATATAAAATGTAGCAAAAGTTGAAGCTTAATGTGCACTAAATTTTGAAATATGAAAAGAAAGTTAATATATATATAATATATATATATATATAATATATATATATATATATATACACATGCACCTCCATTTAAAAGTTAGGGGTCTTTAAGATATTTTGTTATCTTTGAAAGAAGTAACTTAAGTTTGAGTTAAGTGCTTAAAACTGAGTTGCCACTCAAAAAAAAACATTTCTTATTATTATCAATGCTGAAAACAGTTCTATGCATAATTCTTGTGGAAAAATTGATATGTATTTTCCAGAATAATTGAATATAATGTTTTAAAGTAGAAATGTATGTAACAATGTAAAATGAATTGTCATTTTAATGCTCCCTTGCTGAATAAAAGTATTAATTTCCAAACATCTTTCTGACCCTAAAAGTTAAATTGGTAGTGTATATTTAGTGTTCATTCTTGTACAGTTGGTTAATGTGCTCGATCATGCCCTCAGTAGGGACTGCGTAACTTACACACACAAACAAAACAGTGTCTCTCCCCTCCTCAACAGTGCATAATCTGCTTGAACTTACTGAAAATATACACAGACTGGTAATAAATAATTAACCACAATGCGTTATTGCGACGTGCGTATGTACTGTATCTTGTTTTAGTTCATCAAAAGAGCTTTTCATAACCAGTTTGAGCTAAAGTAGCAGCCTAAGCTGTTAGCTTGATTACATAGAAAGGGAAATGTCAGCCATACCACGTAAGATGTTTGTGAGCAATGCTTGACGTGTAATCTGTCTTCTAGGTGGGAGGTCACACCATGCTGCCCATTCGCTGGATGCCTCCGGAGAGCATCATGTACAGGAAGTTCTCCACAGAGAGTGATGTGTGGAGCTTTGGAGTCATTATGTGGGAGGTCTTCACCTATGGGAAACAGCCATGGTTTCAGTTATCCAATAATGAGGTAAATGTTCACATGGCGAAAAGCAGCCATTATTAGAACGTCAGTGTGAATATGACATTTTTAGAACGTGAGTGTGATCTCGACTGGAGGGGTGTCATGTCATGCTGTCAGAGATCAGGTTAGCAGCTTACATCTAGCCACACAAATCAGTCGTTTCCTGCCGGTATTGAGAACTGAACCTGTGACCTTTGGGTTACAAGTCCAACTCTCTAACCATTAGGTCACAACTGGCCAAAGTGGTGATTTATTGCTGTCTCAATTGGTTTTTGATATGACTGTTATTGTAAGAGAGAAGTGCATGACTTCTGACACTGGCAGAATTTCGTAAAAGGTAAAAGTCGATCGCAATGATCAATAATCATTTGTTGGCGTACTTTAAACAAGCGATCAAAGACTTCACAAAAGGATTCACCAAATTGTCAAATCGTGGCTCAGAAGTGTGAACCCAGCTTAACAATGAGGGTACGTTTACACAACAACATGCTTAAAATGGAGATGATTTTTCTTTGAGTTTTCCGCATACAGATGACACCATTGTCAAAGCGTTTCCCATTCCCATGAATCTACGAAAACGACTAAAAATCCTGTATTCTGCTGCCAGGCCATTAGATGGCGATGAAGAACTATAGACTGAACACGTTTACGCACGTACATTTTTTGTTGTTTACACTGAGACGTAAACTTCCACTTTGAAATCCATTTTCCAAGGTTTGTGTTTTCAGGCACCCAAAATGCTGTTGTCGTGTAAATGAACGGTCAAAACACGTACAAAGTTTTGAGTTTTTAAGTTGAAAATGGTGTTGTGTAAACAGCCCCTGAATCTATTGGGAGTATATTGTGTGTGTGAATTATAGGAATGGTACAAACAAGGAGTTTGTCTCAAAAATCTCACCATTGTTTCATAGAATTTTGCTGTTTCGGGCTGGGGTGCGTTTCCCAAAAGCATCGTTAGCCAACAATGGTCGCAACAAGTTCTGTCGTTATCAGCATAGTTCAACGAGTGGTGCGTTTACCGAAAACATACTTCATCGCAAAGATGTGTGGTTCAAACGAAAGCTCTCAAGCTTTGGTTAGAAGCCACAGTGGTAAAAGTTTCTTGTTGGCATGACATCCTTATCTTGAGCCATTCAGCACAATCTGTAGCTTGAATTTAGAATACACTCTAAAAATTGCTGGGTTGTTTCAACCCAACTTTGGGTCAAATATGGACAAACCCAGCAATTGGGTAACATTTTTTAATTACATTTTTAACCCAGCATTTGGGTTTGTCCATATTTGATCCAAAGTTGGGTTAAAACAACCCAGCATTTTTAGAGTGTACACGTCACATACCAGCGCAGTCTCATCCCAAGACGTCATATAACTGACGTCTTGGGACGTCTTTTGACCATACGTCAAAATCCGCCTTTAAATGTCGGTTAGATGACGTTATCAGATCCTAACCCTACCCCAGACCTAAACCTACCCTGTCACCTAACCGACGTTAAAGGTAAAGCGTCAGTTGTATGACGGCCCGGGATCGTCATGTAACCGACGTTTAAGGGTACCCTAAAAAGGCGGATGTTGACGTATGGTCAAAAGACGTTCCAAGACGTCAGTTATATGACTTCTTGGGATGGGACTGTGTTACATATACATATTCTAGTTTGTCAAGAGATTTAAAGCGTCGTTTTTGAACGACTTACTACATAAGAACGAGCCTATGATTGAATCTGGAAACAAAGCAAAATGGTCGGGATGTTCAAACAACGAGTCGTAGTGTGCAACATTACTTATATTTGACTCTCCATATGAAATAACATAAACAAATTGCACGTATCACCTCTAAATCAATTCCACACATTTGCTCATTTCTGCGTCTCTCCCTTTTTGCAGGTCATTGAATGCATTACTCAAGGTCGGGTTCTAGACAGGCCTCGCCTGTGTCCTAAGGAGGTGTACGACCTCATGTTAGGCTGCTGGCAAAGAGAGCCGCAACAACGACTAAACATCAAAGACATTCAGAAAGTCCTTTACGCTCTGGGAAAAGCCACACCTGTCTACTTGGACATCCTTGGCTGAGACTGGTGCAACGCCTCTCACTAGAATCGAACACAATCCAGGAATAACCAAACAAGCCCTTTTCCTGCGTCGGCGCTCCACTGTAAAAACACCAACACGTCGGAGATGGACTTTAAGTGCCTGCAACACTTTTTTCAATACACTGGGTATACATAAAAAAGTAAAAAATATTTAAAAACAAACTTTTACATTTTGTTTACTGGTACAGTATATATAGTGTACAGAATTATTCTACAAAGACAGAAAAACGTTTCCTAAAAAGTGGTGGCGAAAGCAGAATGTTGCCTTTGATTGGCGACACTGTGTTTGAGAAATGATTTTCAGTGTTTCATTTTATAGGCATATATACACACATATATGAATATATTTTTATTTATTTTGTTTCATTTCGAAGGTAAAGTCTGGGTGCCTGTCATGTTTAGTGCTGTTGATATATTATCTTTTCAAGACGGCTGCTCTTTGGTTGTGCTCTGCTTTAACAGCTGGGATATTGTGAGGAAAGCCTTATTATGTTTTGATTATTTTCCCACTGCTGCAGTCAGCATCTTTCTCCTTTATTTTTCTCTTCCTGCAACTTTGATTTGATGATCTACGTATAGCTCTTAAGCGGGCGACTTGGAAACTTTAGAACACTAAAGCGTTGATATATTTTCATCGTATGTGATTGTATATACTGTACATTTATATTCTTGTCAACCTGTTAACTTATTTTAATGTGTTTTGATTTCTTTTTTTTTGACACGGGGGTTATTTTGTGACTCACTCTTCGGAAAGGGTCAGCCAGGAGAGAACATAAATATCACACAGTATCTTTAGATGAGCACTTGGCGGCTCATTATTAATACAGGGTCGAGGACCAGCTGCCGTACTTTTACTGATCACCAAAACTGAATGTGGTAAAACAAGAACTAAACTGCAGGTTCGATATCACTGAGATCCTAATGACACCTGTTTGAATTAATGTTTCGCAATCTTCATAGCATTTGATACAGTAAATGCCATCGCATCTAGAGTTAACGATTTCATGTTGTTGTCTGTAGCTAAACATGTTATTCCAGGGGCTGTTTCTCTGAGATGTTTGTCGATACGACACCAAATCTTGCTGACAGCAGGATTTCGATGTCAACGGATTCTCTTGCCTCTTTGCAGTACCACAGATATTTGCAAACGACATATTCAAATGTATGTTTAGATTAAGTATTAAATAAATATCAGAACCTTGTCAGATGAAGTCTTTTTTTTTTTGTTCATTGTGTTTAGGCAGTCCATAGTTTGTTCAAAGATTTTTGGCATAACCTAGTTTTGACTCATATTTTTTAAGAAATTCATTGTGACGCCTGGATATGCCTCATCTTCTGCTCTTCAGGCAAAGGAGAGTGGAATTGGTTGTGACCAATTGAGCATGGGGAAGTGTGAATTACAGCCTTGGTTTGTCCACACAACTGATGTAGTGCCTTGCTGGCTAGCGGTTATCTGAGGGTGCTGATGTATTTTAATGTGGCAATAAAACAGTCATAAAATACGTAAATTGGGCAAATCATGTCATGCATTCAACATTTCATGACAATTAAACATATGCAACCTCCAATTCTCATTAATATAATATGGAACATATACATGCAATGGATTTATTCATCAAGGTAGTTTGTTATATTGATTTTATATTCTGTTACAGTCTCTGAATTATTGAGAATATTTGCTTGTCATGAAAATGTTACAATGCAAACTACCAATATTGGGTTCCATTTCAGCCTCTTAAGGATTTAAATAAAACTGTTTTGCATAAAGAAAATATTTACTTACTTTGGTGTGAAATTTGACCAAGACATTTAATTCATGGACAATACGGAAGGAGCATGACAAAGTGCAAGTTAAAGGGCGTAGAAAATATGTGTAGTTCCTAATAGGGCTTAGTCAGTAAATATAGTGTGTCCTGGTTCTGAAATAACTTAACCATCACAGTTGCCACTGGATAACTAGAGATTACTCTAGCTACTGGATAATTTCTTCATCACAAATGATGATCGTATGGAACTCTGTACTGTATGTATGAGCCACTCAAGCTTAGCTAGATGTGATTGCTTCAGGCAGATGAAGATTTACCCTGTCAATGGTGTTATCATAATGAAGGATGGGCTTTCAGGGAACATTGTAGCAGCAGTTGCAGTGTCACTATTGAGTTCCTTAAAGGGATAGTTCAACCAATATATATATAGACTTGTACTGTATCCGTCATTCCCAAGATGAATTGATGCTGTATTGGCCAGAATAACCACAAAAAGGAGGCCCTGCATACACCATACTAATAAATTATTGTCGTCTAAAACCAGGTGTTTAGTTTCACTGTCCAACCAATGTACATTCCCTATTGCCTTCACAAACGCCAAAACATGCTTGTAATACATTTGAGTTATTATTCTACCTTAGAACCCTCTAGATTAGTATTAATTAAATAATAACAGGTAAAGCCAGTATTGATGTAGCTCCTTTGACTCAGGCCAGTACTCGACTTCTACAGTCAAACTCACGTTTCCACCAAAAATGTTATTATGATATGATAGTCAAAAACATTCTGAATCAAAGGAAAATACAATATCAAGAAAGATATTTGACAAGCCTAACAAAATGCTTCTCCGTCTAAAATCTCTAAACTGTTAAGTAGCCTTATAGTTTTAAATTCTTAAAATGTTGACATAAAACATGAGTGATGCTAAAAACTAACTGTCATCACTTCAACCTCACAATCATTACACCCTTTCATAGGCACAGTGTTAAAAGTTTTAGAGGATACCGTTGGCAGAAGTAACCAGTTGATGCATATCATATAATCATATTTAATGGTTAGTTTGGCAGGTGAAAATTGCTTTCAAGAGAGCGAACCCCATTTAGAAGCAGTTTATCTAGATTAGTGATGATAGGATAGTATGAATTATTGCACACAGTAGAGTTGCACCATAATCAAGTGTTAAATTCATTCAGTGTAACTCTTTCTAGAACTGGTAAATATAGAACAGAAAATATAGAAAATGGGAACAAAGGGAAAGTCACGTTGGGGAACTATAAGTGTATGTGGTGCTTGCTCATGTCACCCCAAAGCAATATCCAATTCTGACGACAGGTGTTGACACCTAGATTAACCTTGGTTTGCAGAGAGTCAGGCTGCCGAGAGCTTATTAGAATGCACTGGGGATGGGAGCTCCACTCCAGGGCTGTAACCCTCAGGGGCTTTGCCTGCTGTGTGTGTCTGACAGCTCGACTACATGTCTGCTCAGTGAGTGTGTACCATCTAAAAGAGGACGTGTGGACTGCAGCAACAACACATTATACACACACAACCATGCACAATCACCTTTTAACCCTGTGTTAGGTGTGCAAGCCTTCACTCATGTGATTTAAAATAAAATAAAAATGCATTGCTCATTTGCTAGCTGATTTAATAAATGGACCCTTTTCACATTTGAGGGGAATTAAATGTCTTGGGGGGTTGGTTCGGGGGCATCACTCCCTTACCTGGACTATCATGCTCCCTTAGTCAAGATGAACGTGAAAATGGATTGAAATTATGAATTTTTTTTTTTTTTATCACAATTGCCAAGTGCACAGGCTTTCTAGCATTAATAGGCTACTGTAGCAACATTTTAGGTAAGGATAGTCTGTTTCACAAAGTCACAACTTCCAGTGCTCAGGTTTATTGATTATGCTAAAGAAATGTGAAATTTGTTGGCCTAGGCAATTTTCCTTTTTGTTTTATGTAGCAAAGTTATTCAATGTTCTGGCATCTGCATACTTTTGTAGTTAAATTGTCGCCCTCTTTCATTACTTCAGACGCCTCAGCTACAAAGTTGCCTAAGCAGTATCCTGTATGGGAATGGAACCTTCTCTCTGCCTAAATCAAGCCATGTGGAGGAGTATACAGTTAATGCGTGAAAGCTAGACTGGAGATGACACTCAAGGAATCTCGTGACCCCTTTATTAGAAACTTCCTGACCCTAGCAATTGGGTGGAAATGAGATCCATCTCTGGAAGTAGCGTAAACGAAGACATCGGGGCATTGTGGGGCAAGTCCAATATGGCAGGGGGGACTTGGTTTAGGAACAACACCCACATGGCAAAAGGCTACATTATATGAACAGAGGCAACTGATGATGAAGGAGGTGCGCCGCCAGGAGGAAGCAGCCAGATGTGCCAGAGCGGTCTCACAAGCCCAGCAAGGTAGCTGGATGAGGTGGAATGGCGTAAAATCACATGGAGTGACCTGAGGAACATGGACACGAACAGGTCCACACATGCTGTTCTGCCCTCTCCAACAAACCTACATCTTTGGTATGGAGAGGAACCAGCCTGTCACTAGTGTGCAGCTCCAGCAACCCTCAAGCACATCCTTGTGGGTTTTAAGAACAGCTCAACGCAAGGGAGATACACTTGGCATCCTAAACAGGTATTGAGGTGCTACAGCACTAGAGGACAAGAGGGTTTCAATCAGCGGCATTTCCCTAGATGCCCAGACTGTCTTCCCGCAATTAACACCTTTTATCCGGGAAGGAGAGAAACAGTGCACTAAGCCTTCATCCCCTGACTCTTGCCAGCTGAATATAGCTAGGTACTGGGAAATGCGTGTCAACCAAAAGCAGAGGCTAACCTTTCCACCAGAAATCACAGTGACCAAATTGCACTGGTCTGACTCCTGCCATTGTGTCTTCATCGTGGAACCGACAGTCCCTTGGGAGGAGGCTTTCGAGGAGGCTTATGAAGGGAAAGAAGCTGTGGTATGCCACATTGGCCACTGAAGGAGAGCAGTTGGGCTGGAAGGTATATAAGCTGGAAGGTACGTCCAGTGGACGTGGGATGCAGGGGCTTTGTTGCCAGTTCCAACATAAGGCTGCTGAAGGAAGCGGATATTAGAGGCCAGGCCCAGTGGAAAGTAATTAAGGAGCTTGCCACTTTCACCGAAGGAAGTAGTCACTGGCTATGGCTGAAACGAAAGGAGACTGTGGGCCAAATGACCAATTTAGTCACCATGCGACACATCAGCCTGTGGTTAGCCTGCCTTAAAGTGTGAAGATCCAGATAAGAAGACTTCTTCATGGTGCTGAATCGTTCAAGGCCAGTGCTGTGAGCAATCGTTAGGGATTGTAATACCTAGTCCTAAGTAAAAATTACATGATTTTCAAAAAGAGGGAAAAATATAGAGAGATTACCACAGTCAGAAGAAAGAACGATGTCACTCCCTCGGCCGCAGTATAAGAAACACCATATCAGGAGTTGTAATTATTTTAATTTTTGTGCCATTCACTGCCAAGGTAATATAATGCCTGGTTAAGATTAAGTTTTTTTTTTTTGTCTGTTACGATAGTCAATGTGTCAGATTACACGATTTTGACTCCTAAAATCTTGTCGTGTCGTGGACGAAACACATGTCAGACTACACGTTGCTTCCTGACCAGTCATCGCATGCCGTCTTTAACGGCACGCGTGATGTCACCGAGAAGGCAAAATTAGAAGTGAGTGACTTCCAGAAATCAACGTAAACAAACAATGGATGAAGCGGTGAGTGTTGTATTGGCTGTCCTGTGTTCAGGAAAAAAGTAAAAAAAAGAAATAAAACCCAACAATGGACATGTTCCTGGATTGCTCGAAGAGGACAGTATGGACTGTCAATCCTCCAAAGAGAACTTGAGGTAAAATATTATTATTTTTTATATATATATATTTTACTTTTAGTTTTAACGTTAGCACCATCGTCTCTCTTTCGTTTCGCCATTTTTGAAAGTTGTGTAACGTTACAGAAAAGCTTCTGTGCTCCTATTGGTCAACCTCATACATATGACAGAATCGTCGTGGACAACCGTTAAAAAAATTAAGCATGCTAGTCTTTTTGTCGTGATGTGAAGCATCGCAGATGCGACGTTGGTTGTCACCCACTATGTCACACTATACGAGATGATACGATCGAATCTTGCGTCCCAACGCCTGTTGTCGTTTACGAATCCCCACGACACCCTACGTCAAATGGATTGTGCCAAAATCGGGCTAAAATCGTGTAATCTTGACACAACAATAACACAACATATAGTGTTATCCATGTATATTTTTTTATATAAGTGAAAATATGAAAACCTTTCTAGATTTGCAATGTTGATAACTGTGGAAATGCACCAACAGAGACTGTGAAAAGGGTCCATTGGAAAACATTTGGTGATTTTCTAACAATGAATTGTACCA